TATGAGTGTAGGTATGTTTAAGGTGACAAGTTTTTAGGCTGTATAGTATATGCAACTGTGTGACAATTGTGGGTGCCAGAGAAAGAAATCAAAATCATTCTACCTTCCACTTTCATCAGTCATCATATTTCAAATGAGTGAAATAAGTTAGATAGTCGTAATGATTTTCCAACACAAGTAAAAATATTTTTCGTTTATTTAAATTAATTTAAAAGATGTAGATCAAATTGTAGAAGTTTCACGTGGGTTAACGCATTATTATCGCACTCGTGTGATCACAGAATATATACCTATCATTGTGAACAAACTTCACACTTGTAGATAGTAAAGCTCCAATTCCATTTATAATGTAAACAATAATGACGTACTTGTAACATGTAACTGTTTTCATTTGTATGTTTATATACCGGGACATTTTTTTAACTTTGAACATATGAAAATAAGTTTAATTTTAAAAAACACATATGAATGCATCGTAAGTAAGAAATCCCAAAGCAGTTATAATGAAGTTAATGTATAGCATAAGATATTTAACTTCATTTGCTCATTTAAAACATCCTTTGCTCGTTTTTTTAGTAGTTTACATTTGACGCATCGTGTATCATTTACATTTTTGTAAAATATTTTACGACAATAATGCAAACAAGTTGACAATTGATTTTTTTTTATGAAGGTTGGATGTAATGAATATATGATTTTTCCAGAATCGTCTTTTGAAATATACAAAAATTTGCAATTAGCACCAATTTTCGATCAATTTTCAACAAAATTTTCGAAATTTCACTAAATACATTTTCTTGTAGATTTCGGGCCCCAGAAGTGATATCCGCTTGCATTTCTTCGATAACTCAAATGGTTCTTCCAGAATCGTCCTTTGAAATATACAAAAATATGCAAAATACGACCAATTTTCAAAGAAATTTTCGAAATTTCACTGAATACATTTTCTTGTAGATTTCAGGCCTCAGAAGTCATATCCGTTTTCATTTCTTCGATAACTCCAATTGTGTTTCCAGAATCGTCCTTTGAAATATATAAAAATATGCAAAATACCACCAATTTTCAACAAAATTTTCGAACTTTCACTAAATACATTTTCTTGTAGATTTCGAGCTGCTTTCATTTTTTCGATAACTCCAAAGGTTTTTGCAGAATCGTCCTTTGAAATATACAAAAATATGCAAAATATAACCAATTTTCAACAAAATTTTCGAAATTTCACTAAATACATTTTCTTGTAGATTTCGGGCCCCAGAAGTCATATCCGCTTTCATTTCTTCGATAACTACAATGGTTTTTCCAGAATCGTCCTTTGAAATATATAAAAATATTCAAAATACCACCAATATGCGATCAATTTTCAACGCAATTTTCGAAATTTCACTAACTACATTTTCTTGTAGATTTCGGCCGCAGAAGACATATCCCGTTTCATTTCTTCGATAACTCTAATGGTTCTGCCAGAATCCTACTTTGAAATATGTGAAAATATGCAAAATACGACCAATTTTCAACCAATTTTCAACGAAATTTTCGAAATTCCACTAAGTATATTTACTTGTAGATTTCGAGCCTCAGAAGTCATATCCGCTTGCACTTCTTCTATAACTCCAATGGTTCTTCCAGAATCGCCCTTTGAATTATACAAAAATATGCAAAATACGACCAATTTGGAAACTATTGTTTTAATAGCGAGATTTAACATACAAAATGAGCATTTTATTAGTAGAAATTGGAAAAAATATCTTACTTGATCCATATGAAGTTTTCGGAAGTTATAAAGTTGGAAGAAGGATAAACAATTTGGTTACGCATTTTAGGAACTGTACTACTCATGAAAACTTGAAAGTTACAAATTCTGGTTAAATCACCCTACAAAGAAACATAGCACTTTTAATGTGGTGAGCTGATTCTAGGACAGCATCTAATTAAAATTTATAGCTTGACAAAATGTAGTAGTAACATTTCTATCTACGGTACTAGGTATTTTAGTACTATTGTCTCAAAATATGAATTTTCGAGTATCACATAAAAGTCATGCCATTTTAATGGATTTAGATATATATGTAGAAATATAACGAAAAAGACGAGTACAGCCCTATAACACAAATCTAAGCTTACTTTTATCCGTAAGTACACTTTTTGAAAATTTATTTTTGATCTTTTGAACAAATGAATACATTTGAACGAAATTTTAGATAAAATTTAGGCCTTTTCATATTTTAGAACAATTACCTGCCAAAAAAAAATCGCTTGTAAACAAAGTAAACGCGTTTTCTTTAAATTAAGTGTTCGACGTAAGTACCACTTGCTTCCTGTATAATGCGTTACCAATTTCGATATCCCTAAATTTTTTTCAATTTTTTTATTTTTTTTTTTATTTTTATTTACTCAAGGAAAAGTTTTCTCTTACCATCTAATAGCATCCACCTATCTTTCTAATTCAAGTAGAAATGTTTGCCTTTAAAATTAAACTGTATTTCACCGGACCTGTTAATATTTACCATTTGCATTGCTTCTCTAATATATAATAAAATAACAATGGTATTCGCTGTAATCTATAACTTTTTTCCACTTTTGTATATCTATGAACACCTCATTGTCAAGACCGGTAGCGCATCTGCAAATATTAACAAATCATTGGCAAACTTAGAGAAAACTGTCCTTACACATTTACTATACACATTGTTATATAATTGACGCATTTTACTCGACCAAGATCCACAGTGATACCGTTTTCATCATTCTTATTGTGATAAGCGCCGTCATTCCAGTCTGTAGATTCTTCAAACAACATTGTAGCACTTAACCGAGAAACTACTTTAACATTATATTCTGCTGTGGCGAGATTTTTATCTTTTACTGAAAATTTATAAAAGCTATTTTTCTGACTAGTACCTTAGTTGCACGAACAAAGTTTCTATTACAGTTGAAACTTGATTACTGATTAGATTTAGACCTTGTTGTTTGTTGTTTCTCTCTTGAAATAACGTACGCTTATCTATTTATAGATTTGTATCTTACTGCTAAAGGAATGGTGTTTTGATCGCCCAGAACAAGTGCGGTTTATTCTTTTCTTTACCTGTTTTAAAATGAGACTTATTAGTTCGCTACACTTTCGAAACTTAATTCATATTCACTGTTTTATTTATTGTTTGTTAAAATTTGTAATTTGTTGTAGGAACAATAAGAGTAGTTGAAGACCAATTACCATTTCTGTGGCATATTAAAATGCGTTCAAAATTTTTACCAAATATTTTAATTGAACTGTCACCACCATTCTTATTATATTCAAAAATAATTTCAAAATCGGTTCAAACCATCCCATTTCCTTCATTTGATATACCAAATTTTAGGCACAAACACATGTTTTTTAGGTACCTCACAAACACTTCTTCGTCACTAGTTGCGGCCTACTAGAGCAATTAACATCTGCTGGATTTTTTTTTTAATTTAGAAGGCAAACGTAAGTAGATGTAAAATTTAAAAATATGCCACTATAAAAGCATACATATATTCAGTTTTAACTTGGATAATGTTTGATACCATTTATTTAACAATTTTTTGTATCGAGACGAAATTTTGTTACAATATGTGTAGAAGTATTACTTCGATTATTCAATTTTTGTTTCGAAAGGATTGCAAAAATGGACTCCTTCATTCCCTTAGTATTTTATACCCTAATAAGGATGAATAGTTTATAAAAAAATATATTAGTATAGTAATAACATGTACTAGAACGGTTTACAAATTTAAGTGGTGTTGCAATGAAAATAAGTAAGTACTTAACTTACAATATTAGACTCCAAAAAGTTTCTTGCTTAAGATATTCTAGCTCTTCCAAAAACTGTCTGAGATGGTTCTTGGTCTGTTGAGTAGACTGCAATAAGAACTGTTAGCAAAACTATCTGTTGTTTCGTTAAAACTGAGAAATTTATCTTCGTTAACTGAATGTGCAAATGTTTCCCACTGCGAATCATTTCTATCATTGATATGTAAATGTTAAATAGGAGCTAAACCTTTACTTGTGAAATTTGTGACCCAACTTGAAAATGGTTTCATTTTTTTTTTTTCGAATAACAACCGACTTCCTTAAATGGACTTTCAGAATGAAAGATCTAGGAGATTCGTTCCTAAAGGTGTTAGTGAATAAAAAACAGTGCGTTTTAATTGTTTTAATTATTTATTATTTAAATTAACTTTTTCAGATTTTTTGCGACTCGTGTTAGTTTTTGTTCTAAAGAACAATTTTTGAACAGTATACAAATTTCTTTAATAAATAGTATCGCTATTAATGGCGCCACCGCAAATTTTAAAATTTGTGAGATTTTTAAGGAAACTTTGACTCTATTAAATAACAAAATATATGTTTATTTCATTAAAACTGTTAAATGTTTACGTATAACAAAAAAGAACGATTTTTCAGCATTTCTACTCTTTTCTATGTTGATAAACAAAAACAATTATAAAACCGTTTTTGTCTACAATAATGAGATAAATTTAACTTATCTCGTTCAAATGGATGAGATAAATTAGACTATTGTACTAATTCTTAAAAAAAAGTAAAGCTATTTTTCATTTATTTAAATTAATTCTAAATAAATGAAATTGTAAATCAAATTCTGTATGTTTAAATGAACAAACGTATTGTTATCGCAATCACAGAACTCGAGTTATAAACGTTTTTTATTTGTTCTTACAGTATGTTTATATGTAATATGTAGTTTGTATCTTAAAATTGTGTCACATAAAAAAATTGGTGAAACTTAATTCGTTAGTCCACATAGGTTTACCAAAAATTAATTGAAGTGAAAATGAAAATAATGAATTAAAATTTGCGAAAATAGAATGAAAATCTCGAAAGAATTAATATGAAAATAAACCAAAAAATAAAGACGAGGACGAAATTTTGTTAGAAAAGAATATTAAGTCCAGTATTCCATTTTAGCTATGAAAAGACGGCTAAAAATTTATGATTTCAGAAATTAAATCGGTATGGGTAAAAATTAACAATTTATTTTTCAGTAATACGCAACTACATTACTAAACTGGACCGAACTGGATTTGACTAGATTGTCCGCTCTTGACGGTGTGCTTCTTTACACAATCACGCGTTCCTTCTGGATAGTTCGTCATCTCTGCTTCGATGTTGTTCTGGAGCACCGACACTTGCGGAGAACTTCTAGGCTTTTCTTGATGAGTCACCGGTCATTTCGGTAACGTACCTACTGGAAATCCCATAGGCGCCTTATAGGGGGCGATAATGGGTTACTTTGTAACATTATTCTATGATAAAGATGTAAAGTTTATAAAAAAGATGTTAAGATGGTAACAACATTTACTAAAATGGTTTACAAATGTGAGTGGTCTTACAATAAAAATCAGTGAATATTTAATTCACAATTTTTGACTTGAAATTTTCTTAGTTAGGAACATTCGATGTCTTCCAAAATTTGTCGGTAGTGGTCCTTTGTCTGTTGAGTAGACAGTAATAAGAACTGCTAGCAAAATGATGTAGTTTACCTTATTAGGAGAAAGTTTACCAGTAATTTGAATAAAATTGACTGTTCTTTCGTTAAAAGTGAGAAGTTTGTCTTCGTTAATTGAAGGAGCAACTATTTCCCACTTCGAATCAATTTTTTCGGAGGTTTCTATCACAGATATGTATCTGTAAAATCGTAGCTCAACCTTTATTTGTGAAATCATGTATGGCTGATCTAAAACGAAAGCCTTTTAATTTTTTTCTTCTAAGAATAATAATGGACTCACTTAAATAGATTTCCAAAACGAAGGAACTAGGTAAATTGTTCCTATGTTGATGAATAAAAATAGAATTGAAGACTGTTTTTGTCTATAATATTGGGATTAATTTGACTATTCCATTCAAATGATTGAAATTTTGTTAAGATTCATTTCTCTTCACGTAAAATATAAAATATGATGAGAGTGGAGATTATCTTCTAAACTTTTTATTTTTATTGACTGGCTACATATGTTTCGGCACTTTAATTAATTACTATCATCATCAGAATTGCAAGAAAATATTTTTGTTGGTACAGTAGTTTCGTTATTATGATTTAGGTCTCAGCAAGTTGTGTGCTGCGGGTGTAGGTGTGTTTAAGACGTTGAGTTTTTAGGTTACATAGTTTATGCAGTTGTGTGGGTGATATTTGTGGGTGCCAGAGTAAGAAATCAAAATCATTCTACCTTCTTAAGTTATTTAATAATTAATTAAAGTGTCGAAACAAATGTAGCCAGTTATCAAAAATAAAAAGTTCAAAAGACACTCTCACTATCATCTGTCATCATATTTCAAATACTCACAAGTAAACATATTTTTCGTTGATTTAAATCAATTTAAAAAAAACTTGCAGGTGTAGATCAAATTCTAGTTTTTTATGTGGGCTAACGCATTGTTATAGCACTCGTGTGACCTTGGAATTCAGTTCATATATATTTTATATCATTGTGAACAAACTTCACTTGTGTATAGTAATGCTCTAAATTCATTTATAATGTAAACAATAATTTGGATTTTTAAGATGTAAATGTTTTTATTTGCTCTAACTGTATGTTTATATTCCGAGATATTTTTTTTATAAGTACGAAATTCCAAAGTAGTTATAACGATATTAATGTAGACATTGAAATTTCTTATGTATAGCATAAGATATTAAACTTCTTTTCTTCATTTAAGACATCATTTGTTTAATTTTTTTAGTGGTGTTTATATTCGACACATCGAGTATTGTTTACATTTTTGTAAAATATTTTACGACAATAATTCAAACAAGTTGACATTTAATTTTTTTCACGAAGGAGGTTGAATGTTCTAAAAATAGGGATTAAGCTCATACTTACTTTAATATTTTCAGAGTTAAAAAAATGTTTTGCTATATTTTGCTTCTTAAAATTGTGTCATGTATGCATGTCAAACTGACAAAAGGAGTGGTAAAATTAACTAGCCCACATGGGTTTTACCGAAAATTGATTGAAGTGAAAAGGGGAAAATGTAAACATACTAATGGATAAAATATCTTACATGATCCATATCCTGGTTTGCGAAGTTATAATGTTGGAAGAAGGATAAACAATTTGGTTACGCATTTTAGGTACTGTACTGCTCATGAAAACTTGAAACATACAAATTCTGGCTGAATGACCCTACAAAGAAACATAACACTTTTAATGTAGTGAGCTGATTTTAGGATAACATTTAATTAAAATTTGTAGCTTGACAAGGTGAAGTAGTTAATTTTTCTAACATTTCTATCTCTTGTAGGTATTTTACTACTATTGTTTCAAAATATGAATTTTCGAGTAACACATAAAATTCATGCCATTTTGACGCATTAAAATATATATTTATAAATATAACGAAAAAGTCGAATACAGCCCCATAACACAAATCAAAGCTTCACTTTTTGAAAAGTTATTATTGATCTTGCGAACCAATGATTACATTTGAACGAAGTTTGGACTAGATTTAGACGCTTTCGCATTTTAGAACGATGTCAACGTATATTCGTTACCAAAAAAATGGCTTGTGAACACAACAAACGCGTTTTATTTAAATTAACTGTTCGACGTGAATGCCACTTGCTTCCCGTATAATACGTTACGAACTTGGAGATCCTTAAAATTTTTCAATTTTTTGCTTTTTTTCTTTTCATTTACTAAAGCAAAAGCTTCCTCTTACTATCTAATAGCAACGACGCATCTCTCTAATTAAAGTAAAAATGTTTGCATTTACAAGTAACTGTATTTCACCGTACTTAGTCTAGTAAAGTTGTTAATATTTACCATGTCCATTACTACTCGAATGTATCTAGTCTTTTGTTGTTCAAAATACAAGTTTTGCCTAGAATAACAACTGTATGTGGTGTAATCTATAACTTTTTTCCATTTTTGTAAATCTGTTGACACCTCAATGTAATAACCGGTACGGTAACTGCAGATATTGACAAATCATTTTAAAAAAACCATTGACTAACTTAGAGAAAACCTACTTTACTATACACATCGTTATGTAATTGAAGCATTTTACTTGACCAAGATCCACAGTGATACCGTTTTTATCGTTCCTATTGTGATAAGCGCCATCATTCGAATTTCTAGATTCTTCAAACAACATAGTAGTATTTAATCCAGAAACTACTTTAACATTATATTCTGCTCTAGCAAGATTTTTATCTTTTACTGAAAAATTATACAAGTCTACTTTTCTGACTTGGCAGTTAATCAGTCTTCGTACTTACACTGTCCACCAAAGCGTAGTGTTTTTTGTGTACCGTTATTTTCAATCGTTGTAAGAACATTCAGCAGTTTTGCGTCATCTACAATTTTGAATGGCCGAACAACATTTAAGATTTCGTTTCGCGTTAAGCAAGGAAATCGAACGCATCCGATGACCAAGTTGTCTACGTCTTTGTTAATTTTGCACCAGTTTGCCGCTATATTAAAAACTTCGATTTCATCAAATAGAAACGCATCTCTTTTCAACAGGTTAACCATAGATTTCTGAAACATGGTATTATATGGTTATGTGTAGTTAGCTTACAGATGTTACTTGTGTGAGGACATTGAAAAAACCATATTCTAACGTTTGCGAAACATATTCATCGATAAGAGTATGACACGTTTTTCTTAACTCGTCCATGTCATGTGCGTTAGCTATATTTAGAAAGAAACAAACGTTCGTCAAATCTACAATCGAAACCATTTTTTCGTTTATACTTTGTACCAGTGTTTTTAACGAATATTCGTGTGCTAGCTTCAATACATCGGACACATAATTCTCATCTAGTGACGCCATGACAACGGTTCCTGCCACAAATTCAACACGATAATATATTCAAAACATGTAGTCAAAAGTTTGGCTAACTACCTGTATAAATGTAATACAGTATTGTTTCAAAGGCTTTGGAAGGTGCATTCATTAATTCAATCTGGGCCTGAAAACAGTTTATGGATGTTAATTTTTCCATAAACATTGTCTTACTTGTTTTGGATCTTGCATTAAAAGGGACTCAAAATATTTGCATCTAGCAGCGAGAACAATCTGAAAATTATAACTTTGTTCAAAGTTGATCTTTTTGGAAACGGATGAAAAACCTACTTTGTGCGCATGAATTGTCTTATCGGATAGGATTATCTGAATGTCGGAAAATGTTTCCTTCAAGTAATAAGGTGCCATATCTTCGGAAATTTTCGAAGAATCCGTAATGATTAGTTTTTGTTGCGGTTCTTCTTCGTTTGCCATTTTGGTTGATGAAAATCTAAAAATGTTAGCTAAAAATGTTTTAGTAGTGCACGAACAAAGTTTCTGTCACAGTTGAAACTTGATTACTGATTAGATGTAGACGTTGTTGTTACTCCCTTGAAATACCCACGCTTATCTATCTTACTGATAAAGAAATGGTGTTTTTATCGCCTAGAACAAGTAAAGTTTATTTGTCGACAATTTTAAAATGAGACTTATTAGTTCGCTACACCTGTGAACCTTAATCCATATTCACTGTTTTGTTTATTATTTGTTAAAATTTTTAATTTATTGTAGCAACAATAAGAGAGTACTTAGTTGAAGTCGAATTACCATTTATGTGTCATATTTAAATGCGTTCACAATTTTTACTAAATTTTGTAATTGAAATATCACCACCATTATTTCGATATTCAAAAATAATTTCAAAATCGGTTCAAACCATCTCGTTGCCTTTATTTCATATACCAGATTTTAGACACAAACACATGTTTTTAAGATTCCTCAAAAACACTGTTACAAGTTTTAACTTGAACAATATTTGATGCCATTTATTTTACAATTTTTTGTGTTGTCATCAGTTTTTTGTAAGTAATGGTAAAAGTATTGTTACCTACTTTTCTGTAATCACACAATGTTAGTAGTGTCTTAGCAATAATTTTTAATAGATTATGTTTCTTTGTTAAATTGTCACATTTATTTTTTTTGTAATAATCTCTGTGTTTTAGAATAAAAATAACAGTGGATTATTAAACTATGGGTAGCATCTTTTCCCAAAACTGAAATCAAATTATTAAGGCAAATCCAGTTTCTTAGTTAATAATTATAAATTTTAAGATGACCCGCGAATGTCAAAAGAAAACCAGAGCTAAAATTATTTAGACAGACCCTTGTTTGCCGTGAATCATTGCCTTTGTGAGGGAGTGGTAAACTACATTGTAAATTTAAAATTTTGGCGAAATTTTTGATCAGGTATTTTTAGAAACCATTATCTCGATTATTTATGAAAATTTCGGAACACGGTTATCTTGAGTGTTTTCTGTTTGAAAACCGTTTTTGTCTACCATATTAGGATAAAGCTAATTTATTCTATTCAAATGGATGAGAAAGATTAGTCTATTATAATAATTTTTAAATACAAGTAAAATTATTTTTCAGTTATTCAAATTAATTTAAAATACATCAAGTGGTAGATCAAATTTTGTATGTTTACATGGACAAACACATTATTATCGCACTCGTGTGATCACAGTATGTTTATATGAATTTTGTATCTTAAAATTGTGTCGTATATGTCAAACTGATGTAAGGATTGGTGAAACTCAATTCGTTAGTCCATATGGGTTTACAAAACATTAACTGACATGAAGAAGAAAATAATGAATGAAAATTTAGATAGAATAAATATGAACATAAACCAAGAAAAAACGAAAGACGAAATTTTGTTAAAAAGAAATATTACTACTATTGTTTCATTTTTGCTTTGAAAGGACGGCAAAAGTGAACACTCACATTCGATATGACAGTCGTTTAATGATTATTTTATTGTTACGATTACGGAAATTAAATCGGCGTAGGTAAAACTCAAGAATTTAATTTTTGATAATTAAAAAACTACACAATTAACTACACGTTAATTGACAGGGAGTAATTCCGATTTAACGTGACTTATACTCATCTCGACTGGATCTGATTTGCCTAGACTACAGCTAGTTGAACCTTCTGGAGAGTTCGTAATCGCTGCTTCGATGTTGTTCTGGAGCACCGAGACTTCCGGAAATCTGCTTCTAGCCTTTTCTTGATAAGTCGCGGCAATGTACCTACTAAAAAACTCAGAGGCGTCTTATCGGGCCGGACAATGGATTACTTTATAACACTGTTCTATAATAAGGATGTATACTTGTATGGTTTATAAAAATGATAATAAGTTTCCATTTCTGTGGCATATTAAAATGCGTTCAAAATTTTTACCAAATGTTTTAATTGAAATGTCACCACCATTCTTGTTATATTAAAAAATAATTTCAAAATCGGTTCAAACCATCCCATTTTCTTCATTTGATATACCAAATTTTAGGCACAAAAACATGTTTTTAAGGGACCTCAAAAACACATTTTCGTCAATAGTTGCGGCTTACTAGAACTATTAACATCTGCTGGATTTTTTTTTAATTTAGAAGGCAAACGTAAGTAGATGTAAAAGCTAAAAATATGCCACTATAAAAGCATACATATATTCAGTTTTAACTTGAATAATATTTAATACCATTTATTTAACAATTTTTTACTTCAAAAAAGCTCCTTGCTCAAGATATTCTAGCTCTTCCAAAAACTGTTTGACCTAATTTTTGGTCTGTTGAGTAGACTGCAATAAGAACTGTTAGCAAAACTAACTGTTGTTTCGTTAAAACTGAGAAGTTTATCTTCGTTAATTGAATGTGCAAATGTTTCCCACTGCGACTCATTTCTATCATTGATACGTAAATGTTAAATCGTAGCTAAACCTTTACTTGTGAAATTTGTGACCCAACATGAAAGTGCTTTCAATTTTTTTTTCGAATAACAACCGAATTACTTAAATGGACTTTCAGAATGAAGGACCTAGGAGATTCGTTCCTAAAGGTGTTAGTGAATAAAAAACAGTGTGTTCTTTTTGTTTTAAAACAGGAGACGTTTTTTTTTTGTTTTAATTATTATTATTTAAATTCCCCGTTTCAGATTTTTTTGCGACTGGTGTTAGTTTTTGTTAGAAAGAACAGAAATTTTTGCAATTTTTAAATAGTATAGTACAAATTAATCACACAAATTAATTTTTTATAAATTTCTTGAATAAATAGTATAGCTATTAATGGGGCCATTTTAAAATTTGTGAGATTTTTAAGGAAACTTTGACTCTATTAAATAACAAAATATATGTTTATTTCATTAAAACTGTTAAATGTTTATAACAAAAAAGAACGGTTTTTTAACATCTCTACTCTTTCTATGTTGATAAAAAATAATGTTAAAACCGTTCTTGTCTACAATAATGAGATATAATTAACTTATCCCATTCAATTGGATGAGATAAATTAGACTATTATAATAATTTTTAAACACAAGTAAAACTATTTTTCATTTCTATAAATTAATTTTAAATAAATAAAGTTGTAGATCAAATTCTGTATGTTTACGTGGACAAACGTATTATTATCGCAATCACAGAAATCGACTCATAAACGTGTCGGATTATATCAAACTGATAAAAAAATTGGTGAAACTTAATTCGTTAGTCCACATAGGTTTACCAAAAATTAATTGAAGCGAAAAAGAAAATAATGAATGAAAATTTGCGAAAATAGAATGAAAATCTCGAAAGAATTAATATGAAAATAAATTAAAAAAAAGACGAGGACGAAATTTTGTTAGAAAGGAATATTAAGTCCATTATTCCATTTTAGCTTTGAAAAGACGGCTAAAAATTTATGATTTCAGAAATTAAATCGGTATGGGTAAAAATCAACAACTTATTTTTCGGTAATACGCAACTACATAACTAAACTGGATTGAACTGGGTTTGACTAGATTGTCCGCTCTTAATGGTGTGCCTCATTAAAGAACCACGCGTTCCTTCTGGATAGTTCATCATTCCTGCTTCGATGTTGTTCTGAAGCATCGAGACTTGCGGAGAACTGCTTCTAGGCTTTTCTTGATGAGTCACCGGTCATTGCGGCAACCATTAGAAATCCCATAGGCGCCTTATCGGGGGCGATAATGGGTTACTTTATAACATTGTTCTATGATAAGGGTGTATAGTTTATAAAAAAGATGTTAAGATGGTAACAACATTTACTAAAATGGTTTACAAATGTGAGTGGTCTTACAATAAAAATCAGTGAACATTTAATTCACAATTTTGGACTTGAAATTTTCTTAGTTAGGAACATTCGATGTCTTCCAAAAATTGTCGGTAGTGGTCCTTCGTCTGTTGAGTAGACAGTAATAAGAACTGTTAGCAAAATGATGTAGTTTACCTTATTAGGAGAAAGTTGACCAGTAATTTTAATCGAATTGACTGTTCTTTCGTTAAAACTGAGAAGTTTGTCTTCGTTAATTGAACGGGCTATTTCCCACTCCACAGGATAATTTCCCAAGGTTTCTATCACAGATATGTAACTGTAAAATCGTAGCTTAACCTTTATTTGTGAAATCATGTATGGCTGGTCTAAAACGAAAGTCTTTTCATTTTTTTCTTTTACGAATAATAACGGACTCACTTAAAGTGACTTGCAAAATGAAGGAACTAGGTGAATTGTTCCTATGTTGATAAATAAAAAAAGAATTGAAAACTGTTTTTGTCTATAATATTGGAATAAATTTGACTTATCCCATTAAAATGTATGAAATTTTGTTAAGATTCATTTCTCTTAACGTATGATATAAAATATGATGAGAGTCGAGATTATCTTCCGAACTTTTTATTTTTATTGACTGGCTACATATGGCTCGGGACTTTAATTAATTAATACCATCATCAGACCTAAAAGAACATATATTTGTTGGTACAATAGTTTCTTTATTATGATTTAGGTCTCAGCAAGTTGTGTGCTGCATGGGTGTAGGTGTGTTTAAGACGTTGAGTTTTTAGGTTACATAGTTTGTGCAGTTGTGTGGGTGACAGTTGTGGGTGCCAGAGTAAGAAAACAAAAACATTCTACCTTCTTAAATTATTTAATAATTAATTAAAGTACCGAAACATATGTAGCCAGTTATCAAAAATAAAAAGTTCAAAAGACACTCTCACTATCATCTGTCATCATATTTCAAATACTCACAAGTAAAAATATTTTTCGTTTATTTAAATCAATTTAAAAAAAACTTGAAGGTGTAGATCAAATTTTAGACGTTTTATGTGGGCTAACGCATTGTTATCGTACTCGTGTGACCATGGAATTCGGCTAATATATATATATATTACATCATTGTGAACAAACTTCACATTTGTGGATAGTAATGCTCTAATTCCACTTAATCTACACAATCATGGCATAGTTTCAACATGTAACTGTTTTTATTTGCTCTAACTGTATGTTCATATTCCGAGATATTTTTTTAACTTTGAACATATGAAAGTAAGTGCGGGCTTAATTTCTATGTTCGGTTTTAAAAAACACACATGATTGCATTGTAAGTACGAAATTCCAAAGTAGTTATAATGACATTGGAATTTCTTATGTATAGCATAAGATATTTAACTTCTTTTCTTCATTTAAAACATCATTTGTTTAATTTTTTTAGTGGTGTTTATATTCGACGCATCGAGTCTTGTTTACATTTTTGTAAAATAGTTTACGCTAATAATTCAAACAAGTTGACATTTAATTTTTTTTTCACGAAGGAGGTTGAATGTAATGAATATAGGGGCTAAGCCCATACTTACTTTCATATGTTCAGAGTTAAAAAAAAGGTTTTGCTATATTTTGCTTCATAAAATTGTGTCATGTATGCATGTCAAACTGGCAAAAGGAGTGGTAAAATTAAATTCATTAGGCCACATGTTTTTATCAAAAATTGATTGAAGTGAAAAGGAGAAAATGTAAATATACTATTGGAGGAAATATCTTACCAGATAAATATGTTGTTTTCGGAAGTTATAACATTGGAAGAAGGATAAACAATTTGGTTACGCATTTTAGGAACTGTACTGCTCATGAAAACTTGAAACTTACAAATTCTGACTGTTTCACCCTACAAAGAAACATAACAAATTTAATGTGGTGAGCTGATTTTAGGATAGCATTTAATTAAAATTTGTAGCTTGACAAGGTGTAGTAGTTAATTTTTCTAACATTTCTATCTCTAGTAGTTATTTTACTACTATTGTCTCAAAATATGAATTTTCGAGTAACACAAAATTCATGCCATTTTGACGCATTAAAATATAAATTTATTAATATAACGAAAAAGTCGAATATAGCACCATAACACAAATGAAAGCTTCACTTTTTGAAAACTTATTATTGATCTTTCTAACTAATTTGAACGAAAGTTTGGACTAGATTTAGGCGCTTTCGCATTTTAGAACGATGTCAACTTGTTCGTTACCAAAAAAGTCGCTTGTGAACACAACAAACGCGTTTTAATTAAATTAAGTGTTCAACGTGAATGCCACTTGCTTCCCGTAAAAAACGTTACGAATTTTGAGATCCTTGAATTTTTTTAAATTTTTGCTTTTTTTATTTTTATTTATTCAAGCAAAAGCTTCCTCTTACTATCTAATAGCATCGATGCATCTCTTTAATTCAAGTAAAAATATTTGCATTTACAAGTAACTGTATTTCACCGTACTTAGTCTAGTAAAGTTGTTAATATTTACCATGGTCGTTACTAGTCGAATGTATCTAGCCTTTTGTTGTTCATAATACAAGTTTGTCTAGAATAACAAATGTATATGGTGTAATCTATAACTTTTTTCCATTTTTGTAAATCTATTGACACCTCAATGTAATAGCCGGTATGGTAACTGCAGATATTGACAAATCATTTCAAAAAAACCATTGACAAACTTAGAAAAAGCGGTTCTTACTTGTTGACTGTACACATTGTAATGTAATTGAACCATTTTACTCGACCAAGATCCACAGTGATACCGTTTTGATCATTCATATTGTGATAAGCGCCGTCATACGAATTTCTAGATTCTTCAAACAACATTGTAGTATTTAATCCAGAAATTACTTTAACATTATATTCTGCTCTAGCAAGATTCTTATCTTTTACTGAAAAATTATACAAGTCTACTTTTCTGACTTGGCAGTTAATCAGTCTTCGTACTTACACTGTCCACCACAGCGTAGTGTTTCTTGTGTACCGTTATTTTCAATCGTTGTAAGAATATTCAGGAGTTTTGTCTCATCTACAATTTTGGATGGCCGAACAACATTCAAGATTTCGTTTCGCGTTAAGCAAGGAAATCGAACGCATCCGATGACCAAGTTGTCCACGTCTTTGTTAATTTTGCACCAGTTTGCCGCTATATTAAAAACATCGATTTCTTGTTCAAGAAACGCATCTCTTTTCAACACGTTAACCATTGATTTCTGAAACATGATATTATATGTTTATGTGTAGTTAGCTTAGAGATGTTACTTGTGTGAGGACATTTAAAAAACCATATTCTAACGTTTGCGAAACATATTCATCGATAAGAGTATGACACGTTTTTCTTAACTCGTCCATGTCATGTGCGTTAGCTATATTTAGAAAGAAACAAACGTTCGTCAAATCTACAATCGAAACCATTTTTTCGTTTATACTTTGTACCAGTGTTTTTAACGAATATTCGTTTGCTAGCTTCAATATATCGGACACATAATTCTCATCTAGTGACGCCATGACAACGGTTCCTGCCACAAATTCAACACGATAATATATTCAAAACATGTAGTCAAAAGTTTGGCTAACTACCTGTATAAATGTAATACAGTATTGTTTCAAAGGCTTTGGAAGGTGCATTCATTAATTCAATCTGGGCCTGAAAACAGTTTATGGATGTTAATTTTTCCATAAACATTGTCTTACTTGTTTTGGATCTTGCATTAAAAGGGACTCAAAATATTTGCATCTAGCAGCGAGAACAATCTGAAAATTATAACTTTGTTCAAAGTTGATCTTTTTGGAAACGGATGAAAAACCTACTTTGTGCGCATGAATTGTCTTATCGGATAGGATTATCTGAATGTCGGAAAATGTTTCCTTCAAGTAATAAGGTGCCATATCTTCGGAAATTTTCGAAGAATCCGTAATGATTAGTTTTTGTTGCGGTTCTTCTTCGTTTGCCATTTTGGTTGATGAAAATCTAAAAATGTTAGCTAAAAATGTTTTAGTAGTGCACGAACAAAGTTTCTGTCACAGTTGAAACTTGATTACTGATTAGATTTAGACGTTGTTGTTACTCCCTTGAAATACCTACGCTTATCTATCTATAGATTTGTACCTTACTGATAAAGAAATGGTGTTTTTATCGCCTAGAACAAGTGAAGTTTATTTGTCGACAATTTTTAAATGAGACTTATTAGTTCGCTACACCTGTGAACCTTAATCCATATTCACTGTTTTGTTTATTATTTGTTAAAATTTTTAATTTATTGTAGCAACAATAAGAGTACTTAGTTGAAGTCGAATTACCATTTATGTGTCATATTTAAATGCGTTCACAATTTTTACTAAATTTTCTAATTGAAATATCACCACCATAATTTCGACATTCAAAAATAATTTCAAAATCGTTTCAAACCATCCCGTTGCCTTTATTTCATATACCAGATTTTAGACACAAACACATCTTTTTAAGATTCCTCAAAAACACTCTTACAAGTTTTAACTTGAACAATATTTGATGCCATTTATTTTACAATTTTTTGTGTTGTCATCAGTTTTTTGTAAGTAATGGTAAAAGTATTGTTACCTACTTTTCTGTAATCACACAATGTTAGTGGTGTCTTAGCAATCATTTTTAATAGATTCTGTTTGTTTGTTAAATTGTCACATTTATTTTTTTTGTAATAATCTCTGTGCTTTAGAATAAAAATAACAGTGGACTATTAAACTATGGGTAGCATCTTTTCCCAAAACAGAAATCAAATTATTAAGGCAAATCCAGTTTCTTAGTAATAATTATAAATTTTAAGATGACCCGCGAATGTCAAAAGAAAACCAGAGCTAAAGTTATTTAGACAGAACCTTGTTTGCCGTGAATCATTGCCTTTGTAAAGGAATGCTAAACTACCTTGTAAATTGAAAATTTTGGTGAAGTTTTTGATCGGGTATTTTTAGAAACCATTATCTCGATTATTTATGAAAATTTCGGAACACGGTTATCTCCAGTGTTTTCAGTTTGAAAACCGTTTTTGTCTACCATATTAGGATAAAGCTAATTTATTCTATTCAAATGGATGAGAAAAATGAGTCTATTATAATAATTTTTAAATACAAGTAAAATTATTTTTCAGTTATTCAAATTGATTTAAAATAAATCAAGTTGAAGATCAAATTTTGTATGTTTACATGGACAAACACATTGTTATGGTATTCGTGTGATTACAGTATGTTTATATGAATTTAGTATCTTAAAATTGTGTCGTATATGTCAAACTGATGAAAGGATTGATTAAATTCAATTTGTTAGTCTATATGGGTTTACAAAATATTAAGTGACATGAAGAAGAAAGTAATTAATGAAAATTTAGATAATATAATAATAAATATGAACATAAACCAAGAAAAAATAAAAACGAAATTTTGTTAAAAAGAAATATTACTACTATTGTTCCATTTTTGCTTTGAATAGACGGCAAAAGTGAACACTCACATTCGATATGACAGTCGTTTAGTGATTATTTTATTATTACGATTACGGAAATTAAATCGGTGTAGGTAAAATTCAAGAATTTAATTTTCGATAATACGCAACTACACAATTAACTACAGGTTAATTGACAAGGAGTAATTCCCACTCAACGTGACTTGTACTCATCTCGACTGGACCTGATTTGCCTAGACTACAGCTACGTGATCCTTCTGGAGAGTTCGTGATCGCTGCTTCGATGTTGTTCTGGAGCACCGAGAAGTCGCGGCAATGTAGCGACTAGAAAACCCAGAGACGTCTTATCGGGCCGGACAATGGATTACTTTATAACACTGTTCTATAATAAGGATGTATACTTGTATATTTTATAAAAAAGATAATAAGCTGGTAACAAGATTTGCGAGAACGGTTTACAAATGTGAGTGGTATTACAATAAAAATTAGTGAATATTTAACGCACAATTTTGGACTTGAAATTTTCGTAATTAGAAACATTCAATATCTTCCAAAAATTGTTGGATGTCGTCCTTTGTCTGTTGCGTAGACAGTAATAAGAACTGTTAGCAAAATTATTAGTAGTTTACCTTATTAGGAGAAAGTTGACCAGTAATTTGAATATAATTGATTGTTCTTTCTTTAAAAGTGAGAAGTTTGTCTTTGTTAATTGAATGTGCAACTATTTCCATGTTCGAAAACTGTCCTTCCAAGGTTTCAATTACAGATATGTAACTGTAAAATCGTAGTTTAACTTTTATTTGTGAAATGATGTACGGCTGATCTGAAACGTAAGCCTTTTCATTTTTTCTTTTAAGAATGATGTAGAACTTACTTAAACAGAGGTGCAAAATGCAGGATGTAGGTGAACTGTCCCTACGTCTATAAATAAAGAAAGAGTTGAAGACTGTTTTTGTCTACAATATTGGGATCAATTTGATTATTCCATTCAAATGAGTGAAATTGTGTTAAGATTCATTTTTCTTCACGTATAATATAAAATGTGATGAGAGTAGAGACTGTTTTTTGAAATTTTATTTTTATTAACGGGTTACAAATGTCTCGGCCTACAAGAAAATATTTTTCTTGATACAATAGTTTTGTTACTATGATTTACGTCTCAGAAATTTGTGTGCTGTATGAGTGTAGGTAGGTTTAAGGTGTCGAGTTTTTAGGCTGTATAGTATATGCAACTGTGTGACAATTGTGGGTGCCAGAGTAAGAAATCAAAATTATTCTACTTTCTTCTTTCTTAAGTAATTAATTAAAGTGCCGACACTCTCCACTCTCATCAGTCATCATATTTCAAATGAGTGAAATAAGTTAGATAGTCGTAATGATTTTCCAACACAAGTAAAAATATTTTTCGTTTATTTAAATTAATTTAAAAGATGTAGATCAAATTGTAGAAGTTTGACGTGGGTTAACGCATTATTATCGCACTCGTGTGATCACAGAATATATGCCTACCATTGTGAACAAACTTCACATTTGTAGATAGTAAAGCTCTAATTCCATTTATAATGTAAAGAATAATGACGTACTTTTAACATGTCACTGTTTTCATTTGTATGTTTATATACCGGGGCATATTTTAACTTTGAACATATGAAAAGTTTTATTTTTAAAACATTCTTTGTTTTTTTTAGTGTTTACATTCGACGCATCGAGTATCATTTACATTTTTGTAAAATGTTTTACGACAATAATTAAAAAGTTGATATTTAATTTTTTTTTAATGAAGGTTGGATGTAATGAAAATAAGGATTAAGGCGAGTAGTAGTGCACGAACAAAGTTTCTGTTACAGTTGAAACTTGATTACTGATTAGATTTAGACCTTGTTGTTTGTTGTTTCTCTCTTGAAATACGTACGCTTATCTATTTTGAAGATAGTTTGTACCTTACTGCTAAAGGAATGGTGTTTTGATCGCCTAGAACAAGTGAGGTTTATTCGTTACCTGTTTTAAAATGAGACTTATTAGTTCGCTACAACTCTGAATCTTAATCCATATTCACTGTTTTATTTATTGTTAGTTAAAATTTGCAGTTTGTTGTAGGAACAATAATAGTAGTTGAAGACGAATTACCATTTCTGTGGCATATTAAAATGCGGTCAAAATTTTTACCAAAAGTTTTAACTGAAATGTCAGCAGCATTCTTATTATATCCAAAAATAATTTCAAAATCGATTCAAACCATCCCATTTCCTTCATTTGATATACCAAATTTTAGGCACAAACACATGTTTTTAAGATACCTCAAAAACACTCCTTCGTCACTAGTTGCGGCTTACTAGAACTATTAACATCTGCTGGATTTTTTTTTTAATTTAGAAGGCAAACGTAAGTGCTAAAAATATGCCACTGTAAAAGCATACATATATTCAGTTTTAACTTGCATAATATTTAATACCATTTATTTAACAATTTTTTGTATCGAGACGAAATTTTGTTACAATATGTGTAGAAGTATTACTTCGATTATTCAATTTTTGTTTCGAAAAGATTGCAAAAATGGACTCCTTCATTCCCTTAGTATTTTATACCATAATAAGGATGTATAGTTTATAAAAAAAATATATTAATCTAGCAATACAAATTTAAGTGATGTTGCAATGAAAATAAGTAAGTACTTAACTCACAATTTTAGACTTCAAAAAAGTTCCTTGCTTAAGATATTCTAGCTCTTCCAAAAACTGTCTGACCTGGTTCTTGGTCTGTTGAGTAGACTGCAATAAGAACTATTATCAAAACTAACTGTTGTTTCGTTTAAACTGAGAAGTTTGTCTTGGTTAATTGAATGTGCAAATGTTTCCCATTGCGATTCATTTCTATCATTGATACGTAAATGTTAAATCGTAGCTAAACCTTTACTTGTGAAATTTGTGACCTAACTTGAAAATGGTTTCATTTTTTTTTCGAATAACAACCGACTTCCTTAAATGGACTTTCAGAATGAAAGATCTAGGAGATTCGTTCCTAAAGGTGTTAGTGAATAAAAAACAGTGCGTTTTAATTGTTTTAATTATTTATTATTTAAATTAACTTTTCCAGATTTTTTGCGACTCGTGTTAGTTTTTGTTCTAAAGAACAATTTTTGAATAGTATACAAATTTCTTTAAAAAATAGTATCACTATTAATGGCGCCACCGCAAATTTTAAAATTTGTGAGATTTTTAAGGAAACTTTGACTCTATTAAATAACCAAATATATGCTTATTTCATTAAAACTGTTAAATGTTTATAACAAAAAAGGACGGTCTTTCAGCATTTCTACTCTTTCCTATGTTGATAAATAAAAACAATTATAAAACCGTTTTTGTCTACAATAATGAGATAAATTTAACTTATCTCGTTCAAATGGATGAGATAAATTAGACTATTTTACTAATTCTTAAAAACAAGTAAAGCTATTTTTCATTTATTTAAAAAAAAAAGTAATTCAAATTCTGTATGTTTACGTGGACAAACGTATTGTAATCGCAATCACAGAACTCGAGTTATAAACGTTTTTTATTTGCTCTTACAGTATGTTTACATGTATTTTGTATCTTAAAATTGTGTCACATTGGTGAAACTCAATT